CTTGTTCAGCCCTTTCTCTGCTGAGTTAGCAGATGCGTGCTTTGGTTCCTACTCTTACTACCAGCCTTCACCAGTACTGCCTTCCAAAACACTAAAAAGCAGCCAAGGCTCCTCTTACCTGGAGAAAAAGAGCGAGGAACGAAATGAAAATGCTCAGAAGAGGAGGCAAGAGTGTCCTCTCCAAAATAGGAGCCACCCCACGTGGGCTCCCCAGGTGCTCCTCAGTGGGATAGCCGTGCAGGGAGCCCCTCCAGCACTGCAAATCCCCCCAGAGCCTTCCCCAGCCACCGCATCCCTCTCAGCAAGCGGTCCCCGACCCAAGCCACTCGCACCTCTCCGCCCCGCTCACCTTGGCTCCAGGGGCACAGGGAGCACAGTGCCCCGAGGGCAGGCATCCAGGGCGCGGGATGCCGCAGAGGCAGCGCGGACGCGTCCTCCCACTGCTCTCAGGTCCTTTAAAGAGGGAGTGGGGAGGCTGGAGGCAGCCAACCGGCTGGGAACAACTCCTGAATATGCAGATGGATGTCCAGGAGGCCAGGTCCAGCGCCAGGGTCCAGCCACCTTCACTGTTGCTCGGCCATCTCCCAGGCTCATAGCCCCTGGGGTCGGACAGGCAAGGGCTGGTGCCAAGCCGCCGGCTGCCCAGGTGGGCAGAGGGCCAGACAAGCAATTCCCCCCTACAATTTGGCCTGGAAACCCCGTCCAGGACCCAGGATAGTGAACCGTTGGTGAGATGATGCAAATACACCGAGCTAGAGGCAAGCAGTGCCACAGGCAAGGAAAGAGCGACCTGGAGCTCTGGGTGTTGCCCAGCTCCCACAGAAAGCACCAAGGGATTTCCAACATCCCCTGCCATGGGGACACGGAGGCATTTCAGCTGGCCTGGAGGTCTGCGGTGTAGGATTTGGCCAGGAAATGGAACAACACAGGAAAAGCAGCAACACTGAGTCCCTTGCTTATCACAGGATGACCCTTGCTTATCACAGGGTGCTTTAAAGACACTGCTGCAGTCAGCAGAGCCAGCACCGCTCTCAGCTGAGCACGCTCCGACCCCAGCCCCAGGACAAAGCTACCTGCCCCAGGGGAACGCATGGTTGTAAGATGCTTCATGCAGGAGCTGCAGGATGGGTGCTCAAAGGCTAGCCATGCATGCCACTCCTGGGGCTTTGTCTGCTTTGCCTCCACACGCTTACTGAACATGGCGATGTTTGATGTATTCATTTGGTGGGCAGGAGGCTGTGGTTAAAAGCAGTTGTCATCAGGCAGTCTTGTTCAAGGATATTAGCCCTCGAAAGACAGATCACGGAGAAATCCCTGGCAGAAAGCCTTTCTGGCTCAGCTGCCTTTTATTAAAGCAGTCAGCACATCCTCAAAGCCTCAGAGACTACCCCCTGTTGATTTTTTTCAACCTCTTTTCTTTGAAAATGATCCCAAGGATGTTCGTTGTGAATTTATATTAGGAGACTATTTTGATGGCTGCAGTTTACCATTCATATATTATTCAGCAATGACTGAATTAAGGACGTGCACATAACCTGGACTTGACTCCTTGAGAAATGTCTGGCTGCCAGACAGCCTTTTAGGACTATCCCAAGCTAACTATCAGATTCTGCAAATGGATTTCTTGGGTTTTCTTCCATCAGTGGTTGCCCACCTGGAAGCAGGCAGAAAATAGAAGCTAGCTGGGGGATTCTCAAACGTTTTCAACACACAGACCACATCTGAGGAACGCGGCTTACTTGTGGACTCATTTGCATGTTTGCCATGGTGAGATGACCTCCCTGCTCATTGCTAACCATGAGCATCCCACTGGCTGATGCGTGCAGCATCATCGTCCTACACGAGCCCGACCCCATGATTCGCCAAGGTGAGCAGGAAGACCACCGGTGCAGCTGTCCTGCAGCAATCCAGAGTTGGTTCAATGAAGAGCGTCATGGAATGGCACCCTTTGGTAATACATAGGTCCGTTTACGTACCAGGAATCGTAGGTAACATAACTGGTAGGTAATGTAACTCCTAATGTGAAAGGCCCTGTGTCTGCTTGTGCCCGGGGCAGTACCAGCATGTGGACAGGCAGGGCCGCACAAGGGTAATGACAACCGGGATGCAAGGCATAACCGAACCGTCTGCCTGCCAGCTCGCCCTGCACGGGGCTGTGGAAGACATCTTAGGTATGGTTCAACAGGAGGCT